TTCCGATCCCAAGGGAAGAGAGGACGCGGTTGAAGTGGCAGCAGCAGAAGTGGCAGAGACCGCTGAAGTGGTAGAGACCAGGGGGACAGACGAAGGCTTTTTGGAGGGCATGGTTACAAACTTGATGACAGAGGGTGTTGGATCCTGAGCAGGTTTCTTTTCTGTCAGTTTTTCAGCTGGATTCTCAATCTTGATGGACCTGAAGAGTTTTACGCTGGAAGAGTTCAGGGAGTTCAGAGTAAAAGAGGAGTACAAGCCTGAGTGGATGTAGTCATTGCGGCTGGAGGATTTAGCACATGACTGAGACTTCTCCTTCCCACAGTTTTCCACATCCTTTGGAGCACTGCTAACTTCTGCAAAACCAGTCATTTCAGGGTCTCCTTCTATACGGCCCACGACAAGTGGATCCATATTTAAAATCTCCGGATAAGAAACAAACTTGTACACAAACTTCTTACCATTCACCTTTTTAATGATATTCTGTGGGTAAGAAGATACATATATTTATATTTAGGCCTTCTTCAGATTAATTTTCTTCCTGCAAACATTGCCTAAAATAGACTGAGAAATTAGATAGTCTTGCATCAATTTTTCTTTTTTAAAAACACACTGCATTCTTGTAATTTAGTTATGCTCCCGAAGTATCATTTCCAGAGCGTGCAGACAAAACACTAAAACAGGTAAGCTTAACCTGATATCAAATATACTAATAACAGCCTTAAAACTGCCAAGCAATTCTGTTGAACAGATTTTAAAAGATCAGCTAAAAAACCAAAAAAATACTCATTACCTCGTCAAAGATCACTGGCCTGAGTACAGTAATCTGACAGGAGAACCTGCAGAATTCAGGCTTACAGGTTTGCAGAATTGAGACCTAATGCTTCAAATCAAACCATCTTTATTCTTAATAAGATGATAATAAAAGAGAGTAAGTAGCTGAACTAGTCAGCAGAATGTAGGCTAATCAGCTATTTCAATACCACAAAATAGCATTTGTCGAACTTGTTTTGCTCCTAAGTGCCACACACAATTTGACCTAAGAAGATTCTTACTTATTGTACAGTTATTATTACTGAGACCTCCCAGTAGAAAGTCAGATTTGTGCTGCCCAGTAATAAACTCCAAGCAACATACCACCTGCTACAAACTGACACGTTCCTCAGAAACTGTGTTTTATTTTTTATCTCATACACCCACACAGTAACAGTTGTGGGATAAATGGCTTATTGAAACGAAGGTAAGACTCCCACACTGCGGTTCTAGTTCAGCTTTTTGACACTACCTGTGCCCTAATGAAAGACTCTTGCAAGTTATTAGAAGACATTAGCTAAGCAAGAGAAATATCTTACTCTGCTGGACTAAACTCACTGACCACATCAGAGGTGCAATCCAGAATACCAGGAGGAAAAGAAAAATACTTCAGACTGCTTCACTGAAAATCCTTCTTTTGATAGCCCCTTCGCAGAGACAATTACAGAGAAGTTGTCGAGGTGGTGCAATATTCACCATCTCCATCATCATCATCATCATTTTGTTGCTTAAACTGGAGCGTTGAGGATTTTAACCCTTGCAAGGGTGCTTATTTTTGGAAAGGGGATTAGTATTCAAAGACAGATTTGTATTAGTAAAGACATAAATCAAAGATGGTAACATTTTGCACAAAGCTATCTAGAACCTAATAAAATAACCACTGGGGAGGACATGCAGCACAATGACAAACAAAAGAAAAAAAAGCCCCTCCAAACGTAAACTAGTACACCTTACTTAAGTCTGGGAGACAGAAATGACACCTATCCCCTCGAAGGGAATGAAAAAGGAAACAAAGCTCATTAGGCAGAAGCTGGTAAGATGGATAAGGATTCAAGGTGGATTTATGGACTTTATTACCTTCACATAATAGTATCTGAGAGCACGGCTGAGTTTATCATAGTTCATACTGGGCTTGTTCTTGCGGATTCCCCAGAGTCTGGCCACCTCCTCTGCCTGCAGCAGTTTGAACTCCCCGTCGTTGGAGGTCCAACAGATGATGTTCTTGTTCTGAGGCTCTTGGAGGAGTTGGAGGAGGAACTGCCACAGGGTGATAGCACTGTCCATAGCAGTAAGCTGAAATTCAGAAAGGCAGATAAGAGGCAACAGATTAGGAACAGCGCATTTCCTTCGTCTCCCTAGAAGGGGGTGATGAAGCAGAGATGTTATTTCCAAAGCCAGCAAGAGTAAAATTTATTAGTCACCAGTCGTGAAAGATGTTCCCTGCAGAACAGAGAGGCTGAGAGCCAACTGCTGTCGTCTCCTCCCACATGTCAGTACTTTTCACATGGGTTATATTTAGCCTCATTTAACTAAATCAGGTCACTTTGGGTAAGTTGCAATGAGTCACTATCCAAAAAAAATTTTTCTAAGTTGCTCCATGTTCACCCACTCTGACTTGTACTGCTTCATGAGAAACAGCTCAGGTGCACCCAGGTGAAAATCAAACCACCCACTCACCTCCTCCTTTCCTTACCTGCACCCACCTCCACCCTCCGTATCTTTAAGAAAACAGGGCAGATCAAGTAAGTGCTTAAGCTACGTGAAGATGGCACAGTGCAGAACAACTCAATTTTCCTTCAATTCACGTTTCTACTGCCTCTTTGTAAGCAGCCCTCTCAATCAATCCCCAGTTTCCTCTTTCAAATCTCCTTTCTTTTCCAGGTTTCATCCCTGTCTCTTAGAAGAGAGTAAACATGGAAGTAAATAAGATTACTTCAAATGCTGTCTTTGCAGCATTTGATTCCTGCCATGTCTTACCTACATCAGTCATATAAGCTGAGACTTTCTAGGACTAGTATCTGTCAGTTGATTCATGCACTTCCAGCACGTATTTCTCACACTGAAGCTGTCGATGTATAAATCCATCAAGGGCAAACAAGGCAGTAGAGACTATGCTTTTCCTTGACCATACCTGACTACTTGAAACAATACTTCCACACATGTTTTTAAGCAGAACACTAATAATCCCGTCTGCACAAGGGAAGTATATGATGCACTGTGAATTAAACCAGATAAAATTATATGAATTCAATACCCCATACGGATTCTTTTATTCTAGAGCAGAACAGCTTCTATTAATGCAGCTTAAACTTCTTCCAATGACATAAAAACAAACTCAGCCACTCTGGAATAAAAGCCATTGTGATGAATTATACTAAAAGTATTTTGATATGTGCAGCTGTGAGATTTTTTTACACACACACACAGAGACAAACCTCAGTAAAGGCAAACCTAAAGAGTACAGGGGTTTCCATCCGGGTGAATGTGCAGCCCAAGTGACCAAATGCTATTCACAAGCAGAAGCTCCAAAACAGAGGCATCAAGTCCAGCTTCAGCAAGCAGGACCCATGCCCACATTGTTTGAAGTCCATGTATACGCAGGGATAAGTTTAAGATTCAGTCAGGATTGCCAGTTCATCTTTGTTACCAAAGCCTTTTATTCCAATCTCATTACTGCCCAGCACTTATCCAGCCCTATATAAGGAAGAGAACGGTCTACATGTCAGAGCTTCAGAATTTAGTCAGCCCTGTAAAAGGATTACTGCTGACAGTTTACACAGGACTACACATTCTTATTTAAATAAGGTGCCCTAGGGCAGGTACTTTTTGGGCACAGCCCATTGCATTTAACCTATTTTTAAGAGTACCTGCCTAATGGCACGCTTACATGACTGCGCAGGGATGTTACATTGATCAAGTCCGTTAAATTGCTGCAATTTACACAGAACCGTCTCAAAATGAAGGACACCCACACCACCTTGTTATGCTAGCCTAAGGTGCTTTCCTTGTTAATTACTGTATGCATACAACTCCGCGCTTGCCCAAATTAATTGCTCGGTACTCTAAGAAAGTATCAGCTGCTGAACGCCGTGCTTTGAGGCTCTTCCCACGCTGCACCGTGGCATGCCAGCTGAACCGTGTGGGAACTCGGGGCCAGGCAACCACACTAAAACTCTTCCAGGACTTCGCCGCCAACTTGTATGCACATTTGCCAATAACATTTCATATCTGCCTACTGGCAACGCAGAGGACGTGCACGCTGCGGAGCGTCACAAGCGGAGCCTCATTATCTTGTCAGGATGATGCACATGCATGGGGTGTTGTGTAGACAGAAGGACTTGATTCTACCATTCTGCAGAGCTGTCAATACTAGTGATATGTGTTAACAGCGAAAGAGCAGGAAAATGAAGTTGAGTGATTATTCCCACGCTACATTTATCTACAGCACTTTCAAAACCCATAAGCAGCACTGCACCAAATAGCGCTGACTGATGCAATGGGAGGCAATCACGTAGAAATTAGATTAGCAGCAGAATTTCAGTGGCAAGGGCTTTTTATTTTTTTTCCTCTCTTCCTAAAAATGCATGCAGATTTCATCCCAGAATTTAAATGCTATTATTTCACTGGGCTGCTGCCCTTTAGTAAGAAGTACCTTGCTGTGATTATCTCAAAGCTCACCAAGCTCTATCGCGGTCAAGCGTTATTGCCTAGGTCACGGCTGGTTTTGAATCGAGTTGGAGGTGCACACTGCTGACAGACCAGCACTCTGACAGCACAAAGTTCAGCAACACGAGTAAGCATGGAGTGACTGAAATGATGGAAGACACAAGATTTAAAAAACCAACCAACTCAAAACAACAAACCACCTTTCCCACTGATGAGCTATGTTGTTCTGAGGAGCATTCACCAAAATTAAAAAAAAAAAAAAAAAAGAGTTCATGCTGCCTAAATCCCAAATACTGCAGCTTTCCAGCTGGAAGGATCCTTCTCCCAGGGGCAGAGTTACAGGCTGTACTGGAGTGTTAGATTAATTGCGTTACTACCAATGTTTCTGGCATTTACAGGCTTTTGAGTTGTCATGATTCCTTCCATCGTTCGGAGGATACACTGCATATCCTCAGCATCCTCTGCTTTATGAAGTCTTACGTTGGACACAGTAACAACAGGGTGGAGAAATTTCACTTGCTCCTTGGTTGTCATAGAAGAGGAGCAGAGAGCACTTTGGAATTGTTATTGGATAGGTTATACTGCATATGAGAATGAATATCCCTCTTTATTAAGTATTTATTGCACCCATCTACAGGAAACAATGGATAGATACCTCAACGCAACTGAGAGTATAGCGTTTTTCTGACTATTATAGCAAAGGGAAGGCCAGAAAATAACCCTCCAAATTGGTAAAAGCAATGAGATCACAGGTGGATCTTGCCCCTTCAGAGTCCAGGAGTAAGCTGTAACTGGGAAAGGATAATATGTATATGGGAAACAATGTTGTATTATGAACTAAGACATCACATTTAACTTTTTTATTAAAGTTGCTTTCATATGGCAGAAGAATACATCAAAGAACTGTTGCCTCTTCAGGAAAAAACAGAATAAAAAACATCACACAAGATGTAAAATTAAAACCAGTATAGGCAAGATGAGCACTTCTCTTTGTTTAAGAAGAACCGACTAACATGTTAAAAAGGTTCTTCCTTCTTCAGCACCTGGGGCAGAAGGCAGCTGACGTCTTTCATGAGCCTTTACCTTGCAACCACAGGGACTGAGCCGTGGTTCAAGCTCCTTGTGCTATCCATGTTTTGTGGAACATCTTCAGAGGCTCCCGTCCACGCCATAGCCATTTTCAGGGCCACGTACTCCGAAGCATCCCCCTCCTGCGTTGGCACCGGAAGGAATTCAGCAGACCCTCTTGTCCTTTTTATGCAGGCATACAGCAAAACCCCCACTCTCCAGAGCTGTTACAGTCCCATTACTTAGAGAAACTGAAGAAATCAGGATGAGGACAGGAACCCACTGTCCCACTCCTACTCTATACTAACAACGGTGAGATGTTACTTCTCTCATGATTCGTAAACAGCATTTCAGCTTCTTTCAAAACTACGTCTCCTTTCATGAAAGGGCAGCAATCTCCTAGCACAGCTCCCCGTCAGCATAAAAAGCCTCGTAGTTTGATTGCTTTTTCTTCAAGATGAATACACCAATAATTACCAGCACACCACTGCAAACTGCCTTTTTGCTGAAGGTTATTTTCCTTATAAAAGTCCCTGGAGAAAGAAAAAGGTCTTATTTGAAAAGACAATGAGGGAATTAGGCAGAGAGGCAATACTGCTGTTTATGATGACGGCTTTTCTACTTCTGCACCATTTGAGTACGAGGAAAAAATAGTTGCTAGAGGCAGAGGGCAGTTATACTTTGTAATGAGTATGCTAAAATAGAGCACTATTATTGTCTTGAGATCTTCTCTGACGCCTACGGATGACCCTTGAAGTATACCGAGTAGCTGACAGAATTTGGCTGCAGTACTCTAAATACAAGCGCTGCAAACTTGAGCTTTCTCGTGTTGCTGCAGCTTCGTTTGACGTTGCTGTAGCTTTGTTTGAGGCCTTGACTTTACAAAGCCTTGAGTTTACAAAAAAGCCAGGACACGAGATATGTATCGTTTTCCGGCGACTTCCCCTCATGCATCTGTGCCACAACGTGCTCCACACAATCCATTTGATTACAGAGCCTCAAGGCTTTGCATCTTCTGCGGAAGGAGAGTGCGCAATCACTGGGTGGCACAGCAGACAGGAGGAACAGTTTAGGAAGTGGCATATGGTAATCTCCCCCGTGGCCAGCAGCTATACTTACTGTGGCAAAACAAACCCAAGTGTTCATCCCTTCGTGCTCGAAAAGGAGGGGGACACCTCGCTATGGCCCAGCAGCCAGCCAGGCCCTGGGAAAGTAGCAGGGGCATGACCAGGGCAGGGGTCTGCCCTAACCCCCGTCTTCAAGGTCTTCTGGCAGATTTCCTGGGCTTTGACTCAACACCGAGAACAGCTCAAGTGATCTTTCACCTCTATTTGTTCCAACAGCCTCTTACAAGCATCTGCAGCCTGATGACTTCCACAGATGGACTGAATAAAGCAAGTCAGGTCTACAGCCTTGTCAGAACCCACACAGAAACAAAGGATGGTGCAAAGGAAAGAAAGGATGTCACACAGACGTTACACAGGACAAAAATCATCGCTACCACGTATTTAAATGGCATAGTTACAGCCGTCCAGGCATTTACACAGAAGTGG